TGTGTGTGTGTGTGTGTGTGTGTGTGTGTGTGTGTGTGTGTGTGTGAGAGAGAGAGAGAGAGAGAGAGAGAGACAGTGACAGCTGAGTTGGTAATAAAACACCTCATTAATGATACCATCCTTTCAAAATGTGCAGCACACTGCAGTCCACCTCTGAGTGATCAGGCAGAAGGCCTGTTGGACTCTGGCTCAGTGTCTTTTGGAGTCACTGATTAGTCAGTGGAGCACCAGAATCATACATTGTCCTTCCTTGAAAGACAGCAGTGATAAGCATTCCTAATGTTGAAAAGATGCAGGAAGATGCCTGCACCTTCTGTCCTGAGTAGAAAATTTCTAGGTAGGCAGGATGGGGAAAGGTGTCTCAGATGAGGGCATGATAGATAATTACATGCAATGAGAGAAAAGCTGAACATGACTAGCCTACTCTGGGATGAGCTGGATTCTGGCCAGCAGGGAGACAGGCTAACAAGATCTAAGTATGACCCTGGGGAGCTCAGGTTCCTACCTAAGAGGTCATATCAGCACACATCATTTGGGTAAGCAGTGCCTGGAACTAGCCAAAGAAGGTACTGGGCATATAGATCAAGGTATTGACCAAGTATTTGTTGGGGAGTGCCACAAATCTAAGCTGTTGTATTAAGCATGCAGGAGGTATTCCCTGCTGATCTAGAATGTCACTGGCCACAATTTAAGTTGACCAAGGGGGTACAAATAAAAAAATGGGGATGATGAGTACAAATAAGAAATGGGGATATTAGGACCTTGGACAAATAACAAATCATTGAATTAGAGGAAGCAGCACAAAGTTCTCAGAGAGAATAATATATGTGTAGGCTATTAGGGAAGAGCATTGGTGGGGTGGGTTGTGAAGAAGATGAAGAGGCAGGACCAGGCACTTCATCCCAGAAAGGAGAAGAGGAGCGGATGGGGTTACAGAGAGGTGAGAAGGGACAATCTAAAACTATCAGTGGAAACACCTCTGTCGAATATGATCTTGAAAGGTTCTGATTTACCAACTGAGAATGGAATGTTTTGAGAGAAAACTCAGGGAGTACCCAAATAATCTTGAAAGATGATTGGTGAAGGAGAGCTATAGCACACATGGAGTGTGTCATTGCCCAATTCTGCTGCCAGGACACTGCTTGAGAGAATTGACCATAAACTGCAGCATGGAGGAGAATACTAGATTTGTGGCCAAGAGACAGGGGGAGGGAGGGAAGGGTGAGAGAAAACAGCATTCCTGATGTGGGCAAGGATGGATGCCTAAGCAGGGAGCAGAAGGAAGTACATTCTGAGAATTCAGTATTCAAATGTGTGCCTAAGCTGTCCCATGCTAGCCCAGAGCTGAGTGAGCCCAGAGGATGGGGGAAGTGAGGAAGGGCTGGAGCCAGCATTAGAATCTCAGCATTTTCTGAGATGTCCTCAGAAAGCCTACTTGACCTTGATTAATCCCCACCAAGCAGGCAGACCAGGTGATCAAACTTGCCTCAGTACTCACTGTCCTCAGTGTTGTTCTAAGGAATAGGAAGAAGATGAAGCTTTCTATGTTGTGCCTACCCCATCTCTGCACAGTCAGCCAGAAAGTGTGTATCTGTGCCATTGCTTGTTGCTGTGTGGAGACAGTGAGTGTGTGATTTGGGATGGTGTGGGGACCCTAAAAGAGAAAGTTTATTCATTCCATATGGCCAACAAGACGGGCCTCCTGACTGTCCCTGTCCCCAGGAAGGTCAGTGTTGACACTTTTACTCTTTATATTAGCATAAGAACTACTTATCTTCACAAGTCTAGCTGTAGTGTTTTTCCAATATGTAATACAGTTGTTTTATTTCCTATTAGTGTCATAAAAGCCCTTACAGACAGGGTTCTCATCATGTGAGCTTTCCATCAAAAGCAGGCATTTCTTGCCTTCAATGGGATGTCCTTTGTGACTTGAGCACAGGCCAGGGAGTTGTTTGAGTAAATAAGCACATTGGGCTCTTAAGTTTAGCTGTCCTTATACTCCTGGTCTCAAATAATTCAAAACATCTTGACAAAAAGTAACTTGGCTTTTAATTTTTTATTTTGTGTTTGGTATTTGCTAACTCCTAATATTTTATTTTGGTTCTTTTCTTTAGCAGTTTTGAGGAGTGTTGGTGAGTTTTCTGTCTGTGGAGAGAGTGTCTGTTGGTTCTCGCTCTCATGTGGAGAAAGCCTATGCTGTCCCGCACCCTGCCTAGGGGTTATTTTACCCCCTGGTGCCATGTGCTCTTAGTTACTGAGCTCTCCATTCCAACTGCAATGTTCTTGGATAATGAATAGCCACTCTTCAGTCTACTGCTTGTCTTCCCAACCTGATAGAAGGTCATTATTGTGCTATCTTTAAAATAGGATCCAGTTCTGTTTCTTCCAGGCGGTAGAATAGCCCAGCCCAGTGAGGGGCCTGGGTGCTAGGATGTCACATCAACCCACCAGTATGGTATTCGAAAATCCTTTTAAGAACTTTGAGGATTCTCAGCTTTCCCTTCATCTTCCCCTCTGTACTGATGAAGTCAGCTTACGTTTTCATGCCATTTATTAGCATTAATTGGCAACCAGAGGCCATCATGTCTAGACCTAGGGTTCCCCAGGTCCAGAACAGGGGCTCTGTGGTGGCATTTTATTCAGAGGCTTCTGTAGCCCTTGGAAAATGCTGCCACTCTTGACTGACTCATGAGGCTCCAAAGCTGTGACTGGGTCCTGCCTAAGATGCCAGCACTGGATTCATCTAGTGGTAGGAAGTTCTGAGGACCCCTGTACATCCAGGGTAAGGCCTCTTAAGCTTTCCCTTGAGAGAGCAAGGGAGGACATGTGGGCAAGGCATCTGGAAAGGGCTCCCGCTGCTTCTGGCTCAGTGAGGAGATGCATAGCTACTGTGCAGGCTCCCTCCCTTCTTTGCTGGGGTCCCATGGAAGGCTCTGCCTTTCCAATAGCAGGATGAGTCAAGTTCTCTAAGAGGTTGGATCTGAAAGATGTGGCAATGGGCAATGGGAAGCTGAGAGTCAAAGGCACGACTGCTCCTTGGGAAGTCCAGCTCCAATATTTTAAGTGACTCTTATATGGGAAGCTCTCCAAGTTCTCTCTCAACTGAGGAAACTTGACATTTCATAGCCCAGCTGGGACCTGGTTACCTCACCCCTCCATCCTCTTTTTCATATAGAAGATATTCCTGAGATAGGTGGGGGAGGAAGGACATTTCTGCCTGGGAGACAGACAGAAATTTCTGCCTTGAGGACTAAATCCCAGGCCAAGAGCAGTTGGGACCCTGTGTGGTATCTAGCTCCATGGGTGTATAGTCTCCACAGAATGACTGTTGTTCCTGCATTGCCAGACTGTTCTGGCCCACACCCAACTGCTCTACACTTACATTTACATATACCTGCGGTTTAGCTCCTGAGCCCTCTCAGAATAGGTCTGAGTCAGTGGGCCTCATGGGGGCCTAGTGCAAAGCCCCCCAAACCACTGTCTCCTGGGGCTGCCCCAAGAAGAACTAGTTAGCCCAGGTAGTGGGACTGAGAGGCCTCTTCCCTGAAGTTAAGCCTTTCTATGAAGGTCTGTGATGCCAAGCAGTAACTCCTCTGCAGCCCCATCCCACCTTCTTCATGTGGCTGCCTGTTTTTAAAACTAGGTATTGAGCACATGTGCTTGTGGATCTCTGTTGTCCTTGCACAGCAACTCTTTGTAATTTTCCTTTTCGCACCCATACCACATGCTTTCTAAGATCAGACCCAGGTGCTATTGTTAGGAAATGACTTGTCAGAGCCCAGGAGTATGCCTTGAGGTGGGTATGTACCTGTTGGAGTGTGCACAACCACGTACATACACAAAAGTAGATGTATGTACAACACATACTCTATCTGGACTTTAAATATTGAGAGCCTGGGAAGAATAGGTTTAAAAAATTTTACTTTGAGATGTTATTTTCAAGCCTAAATTACTATATATGGCAGCTATTCATTTGGAAGAGTGATTGCAGATTGGAAGGTAGCTGCGTGCACATGGTGCTGTGGAATGACATGTGTGCACAGGCTCAATTGCCATTGCTGCATGGGCTTCTGGCAAATCCATCAGTTTTCGTTGTGGTGTATGGGCTTGTGGTGGTAGTGTTTCTGGGGTACTTTGGTTTATGGTGTTTGCATGTTTGCTCTGTAGTCCAACAAAAGGAGGGACAGCAGCAGTTTCTTCATGACCCACTTCTGGCCTTCCTTGGAAAAGGCCCAGGTGACCTTTACCTTCAGCAAATGGAGGAAGGGGTTGGGGGGCCGCCCTCTGTCCTCCACCTTCTTCTTCATACCCAGAACTTAAGAGTAATCCTTGAGGGACAAGACAAGGTTCCTCTTCCCAGGAGGGAAGGGGCATTATTCCATGCATATCTCACAACCTCAAATTTTAGATCTCTGCCTTGACAACTTGTACTTTGGTTTGCTTGGCTTCAGATGACCTGAAGAATAAGTGTAAAATATTGGATTGATTGAGACATGAGCTAAATAACATGCAACTTGGCATTGCCACCTAGGAGAACTACATGCTGACTCAGCCCCATGCAGCCATAGAGTGAGGTAGTTGACTCCCAGAGCTTCATTTGTGCTGCAGTGTGACTGGGTTGTCACTTGACCTCAAATCCTCAGGTACACCTGCTGATTGTTGATGAGGAGGTGGGAAGGAGCTAGAACCATAGTTCAAAGGCATTGAGATCTTGGTGCCTAGCCTCTGGTTGGCACATTCTCCACTTTTTCTTCTGATGGCATATTATTTTTCAAAGTAAAGGAGTCCTGGAGCAGGGGAAAAGAAGGAAGCCCAGTTTCTGGGGACTCACTAGGGTCAGACATGTGAGAGAGGAACACTGAGTCTGCTCACAGAAAATTTGAAGTCCTTATTGGACAAGCAAAAAAAGTAGAGTTTAAACCATTGTTTTGTCTTAACAAAAGTTCCCCTCTTCCCCTCCACCCTCTTGAAGTCCAATACATAACTTTCATGTGATACTCTCGACTTAAGAACTGCTTATACGTGGATAGTTGAAGTTCTTAGGTAAAGATGGTGAGCATTTGGGTAATTACTGGGTGTGATATTCCAGTGCCTATAAACACACATACATGTATATTCACATAAGTTTCCTGTGTATTTAAATACGTTTTCTATGTACATAGACCCATACAGATGTAGATTAAAAGGCTTAGTCTTGTTTTAGTATTTTATGCTTCTACTATTAGATAAAAGGTCTCTGCCAAGCTAGGCATGGTTGTGCATCCCTGTAATGTCAGCACTTGGGAGGTAGAGGCAGGAGGATTTTTTAGTTCAAGGCAAGCTTGAGCTGTGAGTGATTATTTTAAGACAAAACAAAACCATCTTTTTAAAAGCTTTTTCTCCTAAGATTTATTTTTTGTCCATTAATAACTAAATGTTTACTCGGGGAAACATCCCCTCCCCAAGTAGCAGAACACTTTATTTTAAGGTTAGTTGTGAGCTGGGGTTGAGATGCTGCTGCTGACCTCATCAGATTTGAGAGAGAGCTCCTTAGAATCTGTTCTTATCCTTTTTAGTACATCATCTAGCTGCCAGTCTATCATCTACATACCACAAGACATCATCAGAGCCAAAGAGATTATCGCCCAGATCAACACCCTGAAAACCCAAGTTAGTTACTACGCAGAGCGGCTCTCAAGGGCAGCCAAGGACAGGTCTGCCACTGGCCTTGAAAGGACACTTGCCATCTTGGCAGACAAGGTAGGAAGAGCTTTCCTGATGCTTGTGGGGTATGGCATTCCCTTGGGTTTCTATAACCCTCTTTGTACACTACAGCAACCTTAGTGTGCCTAGAGTAGTCCAAAAGAGAGTGACATTGTGATGCCCTTGAAAGTTTATCTTACAAAGGCCCAGGAAGGTTTTGTTCTTTGCCTAGGAACCCATGGCTGGTGGCTCTAAAGTCTGTGGGCTCTGGCTCATTGTGTTTGATTTGATGCAGCCTGTAATTTCTTAGTGATGGCCTAACCAGTACTTAAAAAAAATTTCTTTTGTACATGAATTTAAAAAGAACCTGCACTATAACACAGACATAAGAATAATATAATCTCAGTAATATAATCTCAGTGGCATATCTGTCCATTTATCTTAATTGGCATAATATATTCATTGGCATATACAGATACATGAGCCAGATTTTTTTTTACCATAACTTGGTCTTGTCTTAAAAATAATTATAAATGTTGGTCCACATTGAGGGACTGCATATGTAAGACCTTATTTTTATTAGACCATTTTGGTGGGTGTTAGTTTTTCATATTACTCAGTCTCAGAACACATACACATCATTCTGGTCACACTTCCTTCCCACACTTTGCTGGGAGTAAGCTCCTGTTCCTAACCAGAATGTGTTATGTCTTTCATAGGTGTTAATACAGCAAAAAGAGAAATTAGATCCCAGGGAAAGATAAAATATCAGCAATAAAATTATGAATCAAAGAACTCCTGTTGCCTATAGAATTCTCTAAAACCAGAAGTTCCAGGAATCTAGCTGTTCAAAGCCAAGGAATTTAGGTATTAAATGCTTAGGTACAAAAAGAAAAAACTTCAGCAATTGAACCAAAATAATGCCTGATCCCCCAAGACTTTTTCCTTTGAGGGTGGAAAGAGCTATGAGCTGGTTAAGGCTGGAACATTGACTCTCTTCAGGCCTCTTCTTGTGAGCAGGGTCAAAGGCAGGTAGGGGACAAAGAATGTTAGAGAAGATTTTTCAGCCTCCTCTCATCTTCCTTGTGTTTTGTAGTTTTAGGGAGAATTCTTGTGGAAAACTCAGACATTCTGACGGGGTGGGGGTACTGCAGCTCTCTAGTTGCTTATCACCATGAAGCAGGGCAGAAATGGGGAATGATGGGCTTCCTCATATCCAAACCTTTGTAGCCCTTGTGGGTCAGAATTCCAGTTCTGGTTTGTGTACATCTGCAGACCCGGCAGCTGGTCACAGTTTGTGACTGCAAGCTGCTGGCCAGCTCCATCCATGGACTGAATGCTGCACGACCTGACTACATCGCCTCCAAGGCCTCCCCGACCTCAACAGAGGAGGAACAGGTGATGCTTCGGAATGACCAGGACACCCTCATGGCCAGGTGGACTGGGAGGAACAGCCGATCTTCCCTGCAAGTGGACTGGCATGAGGAGGAGTGGGTGAGTCTACTGCCCATGGCCTGTTATCCTGTTGCTGAATTTGGGTTGCAAACTACAGAACCAGTTGCCAGTTCTTCCCTTCGATGGTATATAAAGGATTGACTCCATTGTGAGAGAGCTCCAGGTCTCCTTCCCTGATGTTTTTTGGGCTATCTGACACAAAGTGGGAGCCTGTAGAGAAAGTTTTCTTTTTACCCTCTGAATGTGTTGTTAAAGGCCTTCATTGCTCTCCCTGACAGCTGTGTCTTTTGTGGCTCCTGTTAGCCACACTTCTATTTCTTTGGTACTCTGCTGGCTCTTTGCCTTTTCAGGACTGTTAGGAGTTGTGGGAGCTTTGGTGCTAGAACTACCCTGACATTGTATCACATTACTGTTCCTCACAAAAATGGCCTTGAGAGCAGGATATGTGTCTCTTGAGAGAAAGACCACATTATACAACTTGTCACTTGTTGGGACTAGAGCTTGACACTAAAGTAATCAAGTACTAATCATCACAAAGTGGTCCTTCAGCTATGGCATCCATCTGGGAGGGCTTCTGAAAATTACTTCCACCTTCCATTTCCTCCTCCCAACTTCTTCATTTTCCCTGAACAGCTGTTTCCATTTCATTCCTTGGGAAAGAGATGTTCATCTTCTGTGCATGTGTGTATGTAGGTATGTGTGTGTATATATGTGTGCCTGCAGTGGAGGGAAGGCTTGTAGTGCCGTGTGATATTTCTGGTGGTATTAAAAGGCTGTATGTCTTCTATACAATTATAAACAATCTCAAACTTCCAAAAAAGTGACATAAACTTATCTTTGAAGAGCAAATACAACTTTAATGGGAAATTAAGAGTCATCTAGATATTTCTTAATCATGCTAATGAACATGGTGGTCTGAGGTGTAGTATCACAGAGGGATTTGGTTTGTGCTGTTTTTTTTTTTTTTTTCCTTTGGGATGACTGATTCCAGTGCGCTCTCTTTGTTTGGAAGGAGAAAGTGTGGTTGAACGTGGACAAAAGCCTGGAATGCATCATCCAGCGAGTGGACAAGCTACTGCAGAAGGAGCGCCTGCATGGCGAGGGCTGTGAGGATGTCTTTCCTTGTGCAGGCAGCTGCACCAGCAAGAAAGGTAACCGGAACAGCCACGCCTACTGGATCAGACCGGAGGACCCCTTCTGCAACATCCCCTCCTCACCATGCCCCTCTTCCATGTCCATTGCTGCATGCCATCCTCACCCAAGCACACGTGCGTATGCATTCATGCTTCTCATGCTCTCTTCACCTCGAGCTGCATCACTTGTCTTTGTTTCTGATTCCATGCATCCCTCTCCTAGGTAGACTGAAGGGAGGGTTGGCAGGTCAGTCAACTACACATGAATCTGAATTCCTTTTCAGGCCCATCTGGGTGACACCATCATAGTCATAAGGGCAGGGCTCTTGGGCTTTTTAGGTTTATAAACCATCCTGACAACCTGAGGGTAGCTGGTTGCAGATGCCTCTCTGTTGCAATGTTTATTGCTTTAGGAACTGGTAGATGAGGGAAGGGTGAGTTTTACAGGGACACTGCTAGATGAAGGTGTAAACATGCTCTACAGCCTTACCCAAAGGCTACTTATCACTGGCCCAGCATACTCTGATCTACTAGAGACATGTTATCTAGTAACTTGTAATTCAGGAAGATGGTGGATCTTCATTTCTGGTCTCTGGGGGCTGAGTTAGGTTGCCTGTTTGGTACCACCTTTCAAGGGGGATCTTGAATAAAGCTATGAGACAACCTTCTTCAAATAGTCTTTTGTCTAGGGAGACCTGAGACACATCTGTTCTGTGAGTGGCCTTAAAACTGGGGACTATGTGCTTTCTAAGTAAACAGATCCTTTGTCCCTTCCTCACAGATGCCCTTTTCACTTTTTCCTGATAGCTGGAAAGGATTTGGGGCCAGTCGGTTGAGTTCTGGCTGCAGACTGATCTTCTGCCTCCGTTTTGCTCTTGTTGGAGAACTTTAAGGCATATAAATTATGACCAAGATGTACCAAGGATTAGACTTCAAAAGATGAGGATTTTCAAATTCTTAATTGGGCAACTTCCATTCAAGGCAGAATTGTGCTACTTTGTCAGAGGCTTTTGATAAATCCTTCTTCTGTGTAGGAGATGCCCTTCACTTCTTTTAATTTGCCTGCAATCTGTTTCTTAGAGCACTATTCCACTATTTCAGCAGAGTCTACATCATCCACTTCCCTATCCACCAGGGTTAAAGCTTGAATTTTCATGGTTCTTTTGTCTCTATTTTGTTCTTTTTGATATGTTTTTTTAAAAAACATTAAGTTGTAAGTTGTGTTTGTTTTTGCAGTCTTTCTGAAAGTTCATTAGAAGAAAGATGATATACACACACGTGCGCGCGCACTCACCCACACACACACATCATCTTGTTTGTAACTTTATGTTTCCTCGGCAGATACCAAGAGTAATTTTTTAGATTTTTAACTTAAAAAAATGTATTGTCAAGGTGATGTACAGAGGGGTTACAGTTACACAAATAAGAGAGTGCATACATTTCTTGTTCAACTTGTTACCCCCGCCCTCATTTAAAAATTTTTATTTACTTATTTATTTTTTGCAAGTTCTGGGGCTTGAACTCAGGGCCTGGGCACTGTCCCTGAGGTTCTTTTCTCAAGGCTAGCACTCTACCACTTGAACCAAAGCACCACTTCTGGCTTTTTCTGCCTATATGTTACTGAGGAATCAAACCCAGGGCTTCATGCATGCAAGGCAAGCACTCTGCCACTAAGCCACATTCCCAGCCCTAGATTTTTTTTTTTTTTTAATTTAGGATCTAGTTGATTTAGTCAAATGTGCTAGGTATCTATAACAAATATTTTTAGACATATCCTGTATTGCTTAGCTATAGACACACTTAGATTCATTTTACATAAATGAGCATTTATGTTATTTTGCATTTGACTTGTACTTACGTGTGCCATCCACATCAGCTGAGTGTAATGACAGGAACATAAAGCATGTACCTGAGAGAGCCTCACTCTGCTGATCAGTCACAAAGGAGAGTAAGAATCACAACTATGGAGCCTTCCTAATTTTCAGATCTTACAAGAGTCAGAAAGTTCTTTGGACTCCAGTGTAATCAAATCAGGAGGATCAGAAAGAACTAGGTTAACCTTGGTTTCTATGGCTACACCCCAGTTCATGGATCTCTAAGATTATATGCTGCATTTTACATGCACCTGAAGGGAAAGTTCACAGTGGCTGTTAAACCTCATAGGACTTCATAAGCTAAACCAAGTTAGAAAGTCACTGGTCTGGGAATACCAAAGGAGATTTGTTTCTTCTCTTTGAAGAAAGATGAGCTTAGAAAGTTGAATTTAAACCCTGATAAAACTCTCACAGGTATGCTCCCAACTCAACAGTTCAAAATCACCACAGAAGCTCATAAAACAGACTCTTAAGACATTCCTCCTTTGCTCACAGACTTGAAGGAGGGGTGAAAAGGAGGCAAAAATATGTATTTTTTAAAGGCCCGGATAATTCTGATTAGCCAGACAGAAGTTTCAAAGTTACTCAAAGTATCTTTGTTAGCTAGATGCTCTTTGGGTATGTGAGTTCCAACAAAAGTCAGAGCTTTATAACTCATAGAGGCCTTCGTATCCCCTATGCTAGTTTTAAGAAGCCACGTCTAAAGGTTAGAGAGGAATGACCTAGACTCGACAATATGGAAAAGTCCCCTTAAAGCTGGTTCTGCTTGGTTTTGAGAATATGAAACTACTTTGTTTCAATAATCTGAAGATATTCTTTGAACTTACTAGTTCAAAGAACCAATTCTTATTCCTGTGATTCCTTCTCAAACTTGTTTTCTTTCAGGTAGCACACCCAGTTCACTGGGAATTTTAGAGTTTTTAAAGAAAACAAAATTGAAATGTATGTCAGTTATGACTCAATAAAAAAATAGAATAAAAATTGGAATTTTTGAAAACCTGCAAGATATCTTAATTGGAGAGTTCTCCCCAAACATACAACTTTTGTATTTAGTTTAAATCTTAAAGATGGAGAATAGTGTTCTTTTTGGAATATTGGTTTTATTACTGGATCTTAACATTTTGGATCTCAGCAGGCAGTCTTGATCCTAAGCTTTCCGAGCGAGTCAGGGTACGTGGACTCTGACAGGGGCCATGATCAATGAGCTAGTCTCTCTCATTTGATGTTGTGAGCTAACATGGGATCCATTATTATAACATCATTGATGTGGCATGCATCATGTTGTATATGTTGGATCACTCATCCTGAAGTGCATTTTATGTGGAGACATTAGTAACGTGAATGTTGACACTGGTGAATCTGCATTGTCTACTGGTGACAGAGCCCAGCTACTCACAGCAGCTGGAGTGCCTTTGTGAAACTTCTGGGGAAGAGGTATTCAGGCCCCAGACCTCTTCTCTGTGTGTTTTAGTCACCTTACAGGCTGCTGCTGCAGCAGCTCTGAGATTGAGTTGCTCATGTTTGAATTGTGTGCTGCTCCTTAATCATCCCTGTTGCCCTCCATTTCTGTGCAGATACCAGTCCCCCTCCTGAAGAGTCCAGCCCAGGTATGTGGTTTCCATTCAAAGCTCCTGCTGGGTGTGTTCTTAATATTCAGGTAGTGTCCAAAGCTCAGGAATCAAAGTTAGTTTAGGTTTCCCTACTCAGGGGAAAATATTTTAGGACTTTGTCATGAGGTTTGATAAGAGACCAGTGGGGTTGAGGGAATTGTAACTTGAAGTAGGCTGTCACATGTTTTGTGTTTTGACTTTTATAAGACCTTTCCAGATGATTAGTATTTATGAGTGTATTGGCTTCCTGAGGTGGATTAGAGAATTACACACTGGTAAATGATACACCTTTATATTCACCTGAACTTGTAAGTAGAACTCTAAAGACACATCAGCTAATGTATATCCACTGAAAGTTGTGACATTTCTAATTATGAAGTATCCTTTCTTCTAAGCCTGGATGCAGCTTTAGAAATTTTATCGGCATTTCTATGGGCCTTAATTGGAATGGAATTAGTGCTAGAAATTAGAATCTATTTGCTATATTTGCATGTTACCCAATGTTATTATTCTAGTTCAGGGGTTGGCAAACTGCAGTTCTGAGCTAAATCCTGGCCACAGTCTGCTATCATGACTAATGCATTACTGAAAACCAGTCATGCCCACCTATTCACATATTGTGTGCCAATCCCAGAGTTGAGTTGGTGCAAGTGCAATAGAGATTCTGTTGCCTTCGAAGTCTAAAATATTTACTATCAAGCCTTATTAGTAAAGGTGTGCTGACCCCTGATCTGGTTCTCACTGATAAGCTTCCTGATATGGCTTATGATTTTTCCAGAGTGTGCATGTACTCCTCAAATAATATGGTCTTTTCCTCTCTAGCACCTACCCTGGGCCTAGACCTACCTTTCTTTATTTCCATCTTCTGGTTCCCCTCAGCATACCTACACATCAGGCAGAAGGCTAGAGCCTTCAGACAGAGGTGACTTTACTTAGCCCCGTATAGAAGTGTCTGGCATGCCACATCCAGCAGTGAGGACCGGGGAAGGGCCCATGAGCCTGCCCTCAGAATCTCAGTTCTTTTCTGCCCTAAGGATTTGTCAGCATACAGACTATCTCTGGCTCATATAACTATCCTGGTTTTGTCAGTAGTGTCATTTCCAGAGTCACTAGTGGCTTTCCTACAGTTGATATGAAATACATTGATTAGGTCCCTTGCCATAAGCTTTTGTAGAACAATATATAATTTAACGTAAGGCACACAAACACACCCTGTCTCCCTGACTCCCTCCCTCCCCTATTAATGAAAAATGCAGATGCAGAATATGGATTTATTTGAAAGACTCTTTTAAAGTTATTTTTTTTGCGGGGGGGGGTCCAGTTGTGGGGCCTGAACTCCGGGCCTGGGCACTGTCCCTCAGCTCTTCAGCTCAAGGCTAGCGCTCTACCACTTGAGCCACAGCACCACTTCCTGCTTTTTTCTTTTTGCTTATGTGATGCTGAGGAATTGAACCCAGGGCCTCATGCATGCAAGGCAAGCGCTCTACCACTGAGCCACCTTCCCAGCCCCTTAAAGTTATCTTTAGTGATACAATCATTTGATGACAATCAGTCCATGAATATGATAGGTTAACAATTGGGTAAGCTGATTCCCCCAAGTAGATCAGCTGTGTAATGGATCATTGCTTAGTTGAGTGGATGTTTTTGACTAACAAGACTTTCTCATTGAAGGAATCAGATTGTAAACCTTCACTAACTCCAGTATCTCAGGGGCCTTTACTTGAGTAGGACCTTTGTGGTGGTAGTGCCTCTGAAATACACTTTTGAAGTTGTAAGTTACTCCATATTGAAAACACATACTATCTTTTAACTCCACTTCTTTCCCTAACACAAGCAAGGTAACCACTAGAAATAACATGATGTATAGATTCAATCATTGTAAAAATGCCAGTTCTTTTTCTGTATCTGGGATTGACATTTAGTCTCCTGAGCCATTTCTTCTTCTTAATTAAGCACTCTTTTGCTTAATAAGAAGACAGAAAGTAAAGTGCAGATAGGTATTGATAAGCATTGCTTGATGCCCTTTTTGGATGCTTCTCTGGGCAAATGTCACACTCAACAATCCATGCTGACCAAGACAATTGTCCTGGTGCTTTTTAAACATTCTTCCTATACTCCAACTTTTTCTAAGTTAGCAAGAGAGTCATTCTCACATTAATTTAGTTTAAAGAGAAGTAGGCAAATTGAAAAAACTTGCATATTGAAGCTGGTTGTCATGATGCATACATGTAAACCCAGCACTCAGAAGGCTGAGGCCATCCTGGGCTATCACCAAGATCTTGTCTGTAAAACAAAATAAGTAAAACAAGTTGTTTGTAGAGATCTTTACTTTGTCAAATAACACCACTTATGTAACCTCATCATTTACCAGTTAAAGTGATCATGATTTGAATATTAATTGTATATGGATGATTTGAAAATAATGTAAAATTGGCAGCATTTTCTCTATTCATGTTTACTCTTTACTGAAGAGAAGTTTTAGTGACTTCTCTTCACTAAAAAGACTTTTAATGACTACTCTTCCCTAAAACTGTTATTCTTCCCTGAATGATTTGGCTAGTAAAACCTAATTTCTATTTGCTACAATTGTCTTGCATTCAACAGACGTCTTCAAAGGAAAAAAAACCCACCAGAAAACTTGTTTTCTGAGAATTCTAGGGGAGAAAGAGGCTTGACAGTCTCCTTTCCCTGAACAGACTCCATGTGGCTAAAGGGTTGAGGCCTTGCCTATGTCCAGTACTGCTCAGTGGTTGGTTGGGCATAGGACTCAAATTTTCCATTTTTCAGTCCAGTGTTTTTTGTCTCCTGACATACTTTACTAAGATCTTTTATTATGGTCTTTCTAAATTTAGCCTGCACTTTTTCATTACAGATATAAACTCTTGTTCACATGGAATATACCTCCACATCCAGTTAGATCATTTCCAACCTTAGACCTGTTACCTGTACTTAATTCCCACTAACCAAACAGGTCCTTTACAGATGCCAGGTATTTTTTTGAGTTTACTTTCCAATGAAGTGCTGATGGCTTGAGAAAGCTAAGCTCAGTCTCCTTCCTTGTCATTTTTTTATACTCTGCGTATCAAAGACAGGGCTCACCCTTTCGTAGTCCAGGGCATGGTGTAAGGAACCTCTGTGACTTGCACTTCAACCTGTCAGGCATCACTCCATTGCTTCAAGCCATGTTTGGAGTGGTGGGTTCGCCACGTGAGGATGAGCAAATGCCTATTTTTGGGCTTAATGACTTGTTAAATATATAATGGATGAGAGCATGTTTTCTTTTTTAAATGTCTTCCAAATAGGAATGAGAATAGAGCCAAAACCAAAGATACCCCTCACCCTGTTTTCTCCCTCAAGATTTTATTTTTAAAAATATTGTTTTGGTAAAGGGTCAAAGGTTTCTCATATTTCTAAAGGAAAACTAAGCTCAAAATAATTGGCATCAGGCAGAGAGTGAGTGTAGGAGAGTCAGGAGAGCTGTGGGGAACATGAGAATCGAACCAGATGCATATAAGGCCAACAGAGGCGGAGTTAGTACTTTGCTCTGGAAGGACAAGGACAGAGACAGGAAAAGTGAGATAACAGATAGCTATTCAGGCTGAGGAACCCATGGTGCTTTGGAAGGAGGTTGGCCTCCTTCCAGATCATTTTCTGGGATCATCATGATATGAAGAAGGTTTTTGTTGTTGTGTTCCTCAGACAACAGTCTTGGGTATTGAGCTGGTGGTCCCCGATGGTTTCAGGATCCAGGCATGAGTTGGTAGCCTTAAACTGCTTGAAGTTACTAGAACGGCTACTGGATACAGGGCTAGAGTCAGGACTGGTGTCTGGCCAAACTTGGTTCTAGTCCCAGGATAGAGGGTGGTCCAAACAGGGTCAGAAGATGTAGAAGTGTTGGGGGTAAGGGATAGGAAGATGGGACAATGGTTAGGGGATGAATGTACTAATTTACAGACCTAATCTATAAGATCTTCCTTTCTAATCATAACTCCTTTATTTGTGCCCAGGTGAATGGAGTGAAGCCCTATACCCCCTGCTGACTACCCTCACAGACTGCGTGTCCATGATGAGTGACAAGGCCAAGAAGGCCATGGTCTTCCTGCTCATGCAGGACAGTGCCCCCACCATAGCTTCTTACCTGAGCCTGCAGTACCGCCGCGACGTAGTCTTCTGCCAAACCGTAAGCCGGGCTGGGCCAGGAGGGTGGCCCTCAGAAAATAACACCTTCAGGAAGGCCCTTTCCATCTCCTTCATTTGTGAAAAATGCAGAGAGTGTTGTTGTCTTCCTATTGGTTTTCAGTGTATTTAATAGAGAGGCTAGCTTTCAACACAGGATAGACACTACTCCATTGATAAGTATTTGTTTCTCCTGAAGAGCTGGCAATGATTGGTAGGCTTTACACCAGGGTGGTGGTGGAAGGCATAGGACTCTGCTGTCTTTTTTTTTTCCCCTGGGAAGGAATCTAATGGAGCAATATAGGTGCTTGCTATTTATGGTCTGCTTTCTCATTAATAAAACAGTAAGTACTTAATTCTTGTGGCTTATTGAAAAATTCTGTTTCAATGATATCAGTTATCTTTCAGTGAGCTGAGAGATGAAATATATGTTATAAGTTAAAAGATGCCAGTTATACATTAGTAATGTGTAGTCATGTTGGTAGGCTGGTGCTGTGCAGTCCCTGCTCATGCTAGGAGGCCTTTTATCCCATAGGAAACCTCCCATTTAGAGCTGAGGGACTGTGCTATCTCTTATGCCTATTCTTAGATGATGTGGCTCTATAAATAAGCAGACTCTTTTGGTATTGATTCTGGGCTTCTAGAAGTTTCCAACCTAGGAAAAATCCCAGGCAAGTCAGGACAAAGGCTGGGTTAAAACCAGGCTCACCTTAGGAGTGACAGGCACAAGCAAGCCCAAAGTATTTCACATTATCTCAATGACCTTTGCCCAATATGACTCCAGAGCCAAGACATCTCTAGCTCTCCAGTACTCCATTTCTTTCCACGTTCTATCCCCCGGGGATGAAATGCTACTGACATCCCTTTGAACAGTGAAGCAGACAAATTCAAGTCCCAGGGCTTGGGAAGCTGGTGTCTATACCCCACACCCTATGTCTTCCACAGCTGACTGCTCTCATCTGTGGCTTCATCATCAAGCTAAGGAACTGCCTGCATGATGATGGCTTCCTGCGGCAGCTCTACACCATTGGACTACTGGCCCAGTTTGAAAGCCTCCTAAGCACCTACGGTGAGACTTGAGTGACTGCATACACCTGGGCTTTCCAAGACCTGAGGTCACAGTGGCAGTTTCATTTGTGATTTCTACTCTTTCTTCTCAGATATTAAAATGAATCTAAATTTCATGAGAATATGTGACAAAGAACCCATGAAACTCTCCTTGCTTTATGGTGCTGTTGATCTTCGTTTTATATCTTAAAGAGCTTCCTAGTTGAGGATAGATGGTGATTATTTAACCAGGCACTTGTTTATGAATTGTTCCTACTAAACTTTTTGTGCAGTGACACCTGTTCACAGAAGGTGCATACAAACCCATTCCTCAGCCAGTAATTACTAAGAGTTACTAGGTCAAAGAGTAGGAATGTGTTAAAATTTATTATCTATTTCCAAATTGGCCTTGAAAGATCCTTTCTTTTCCCTGGCCTTGTTTCCTATTATTCCTTCTAAAAAGGTAAAAAAGGATAATTTTTAAAAAGTACTTGCTAATCATGGAGTTATGGGATATACTTATTGAATAGATATCCTTTGCCATGTGGCCACAGCAAAGTTATATATTGCTTCTCTTCTCATTCTCAAATTGTGGGTATTGTCTTCTGAGCTCCATGCATTTTCCTGTCCCTCCCCACAGTCCTGAGCTTGACTATGGAAGGCTTGAGAAGGGTACCTGTTTCTACCAGCTGCATTTGTAACGCAGCATGGAGGGGAAAAGTCAGTGTCAGAGTTCATTCAGACAGTAGTGAGCCACAGAGGAAGGGGCTTAGTCCTCTGTCTTACACCTCACCCGTTTTCTCTGTGCTGTCCCTCAGGAGAATGGAAGGCTTCTGCCTGACAGCCTTCTTCTCTCTCTTACATCCAGGAGAGGAGCTGGCGATGCTGGAGGACATGAGCCTCGGAATCATGGACTTGAGGAATGTGACCTTTAAAGTCACACAGGCCACTTCCAATGCATCAACTGACATGCTGCCTGTCATCACAGGAAACCGGTAGAAATATTTATTTAAATTTTCCAGTCAACCAGAGAAGTGTTTTCACTTATGTTCATCTTTTGAGCTGCATGTTCTTTTCCTTTTCTTTCGTTTGGTCCTGTTAAAAATGAAGGTCATAGCCCCTTGTGTTAATATCACCTTCTTTAAAGTTCTTGCTTGGGGTTTGGATGTCACTAAGCCAGAGGCTACCCAGGGACTCAGACTGAACCCTGCTCGGGGTTCCTGATTGCCTTGTTAGTATCTGGGTCTCAACTCCTCACCTCTGTTCATCCTCCCTTGGCTTTCTTTCAGTGATGGGTTTAATGTGCGGATCCCTTTGCCAGGCCCACTCTTTGATACCTTGCCCCGGGAAATCCAGAGTGGCATGTTGCTTCGAGTGCAGCCAGTCCTCTTTAATGTGGGCATCAATGAGCAACAGACACTGGCTGAGAGGTATGTGCTACCCTTCTGGGACCTCTGTTACTGGTGTGATCAGTGATCAGTGTGCATGGATCCCTGGATATGGGTTCACCTCAACTTAGGAAATACCCTGTGGTCACAGGAGCACATTTCCAGTTCCAGTGAGGAACTGTTAGTAGGCCGGGGCACAGTCATGTTTACATGTTAAATAGGTCACTTTGCTGGCTATGAATGTCAGCAGGATTTGCTAGAGATACATGTGAGAGGGTTGCTAGACAGATTAGGCCACAGGTATCCTGAATTGGATGATACAGAGGCTGGTTTAGGAATTCTGAGACAGGACCAACAGGAGAACAGTATTTAAGTATTATTGGGAAGATTTGATCTTTATTTGTGAGGAGAGTAGACTGTGGCCCCAGGCTTCAAGTCAGGTGAATCAGTGCCTTGTTGAACTCCAATCCTTGATGCGAGGGGGGGTGAGGGGGATGTCTCATGTTTAGGGCAGATGGTGAGTTGGGCTCAGGCTGAGAAGCCATGCCAGGAAACAGAGTCCTCTGAGGCGGGAGCAGAGTTGAAAAGCTCATCACTAGGAGAGTGGCCTTCTTATGGGAGTCACCACTAAAGATGCCCTGGGAGATAAAATGACCTTCCCTGCATCGGGCAGATATTGAGCTGTTTCTGGGAAGGATTGAGGCAAGGCAGTTATGTTGAGCAGAAGGGAGGGTGGTGGAGGAGAGAACTGGAAGAAGAAGAGTTGAAGAATATAGGGTCTTGGTTTTGTTTGTTCCAGTACACTAGTGCATTGCGTTTCTGAGCTTTGGGGAGATTGCACAGAGAATGAAGGCTGTAGGCCCAAGGACAGGGCCAAGTCCTGAGGGAATAGCCAACTAAAGACAAGTCATCATCGGCACTAGGGTGGATGGGCTATGATCCATGAGAGGTCATCTGGGTACCTTTTGAGGGATGTCTCATAAAGAGACTGAAACTTAGGCAGGTTATGAAACAGGGAAGTTGTAGGCTGGACTAGAGAGCTAGTTCTTAGGCTTCATAGCCTACATTTTTTTAATGACTACCTTGTGCCTTCCTTGCAAGTGGCATCCACTGCCTCTTCCTATGAGTATTTGGTTTAAAGGCACTTGCAACATGCTAGTGTACACAGGACACACCTGTATGCAGAGGAAACAATGTGTATCTGGGCATTCCAGAGGAACAGTTAGGGTGATAGGGTATTCCCAGAAGATCTTCCAATGCCAGTTCAGGGCTGTATTTTCACTCCCCAAGCACATTACATTAACTTTATCCCTCTCCTAAGTCCTTCTGAGGCTGCAAGACATGGGGAGTGTGACCATTGTGGCTATAGATAGGAGTTTCTATGCCACACAAGGCAGACCTTTCAGGTTCTGGGTCTGGTACTATGTTAGTCACTTTCTGTCACTGTGACAGAATGTCTAAGAAAACAACTCAGAGAATTTATTTTAGCTCACAGTGTCAGAAGTTTCAGTCCATGGTCACTTGACTCCTTGGCTTTGGGGCCTATGGATGAGTGAGGCAGAATACCATGGCAGAGGGTATGAGGTAAAGGGACTTACTTTAAGGTAGACAGGAGGCAGAAAAAGAGCAAGAAGAACGGCCTGGGAAGAAGGTCTGCTTTTCAGAAGCAAGCTACCAAGGATCTATTTCCTCCAACTAAGCCCTACCTACCTGCCCATATCTTCGATTAATGAAGTTAGTTCCTTCTCATTAGTTAATAGCACTACCAGTGGCAACCAACCTTTAACACACAAGAAGTTTGTTGTGGAAACTTCATATCCAAATATAATATAACAGGTACAGATCATATTCTGATCATTTCTTAGTTACATCTATAACAACTTATACATGGTTTCTGTCCATGAAATATATTTAAGCTGTTACCAACACTGTAAAGATGACTTCAAGCTCAGGAGTATGAAAGTGGCCTATGATTTAGACATTCACAATAAATATTTGAGCGTATTCATTTTGTTAGCTCTGTTGGAGTGTGTTAGAAGGAAGTGATATGAGCCAGCTAATGATATCCCCTTAATGCCCAAAGGTTTGGTGATACGTCTTTACAAGAAGTCATCAATGTGGAGAGTTTGGTGCGACTAAATTCTTACTTTGAACAATTTAAGGAAGTGTTGCCGGAGGATTGTAAGTATTCCTTTTCTCATAGTGGTTTCCACCAGCCTATTTTTCACTTTGAATCTTGGAGAGAAGCTGCCTGCTTATTGACCTTCCAGACATTGCCTGACTTGCCTTGCTGCCATGGATGTTCATGTATATATGTGCGTATGTTCATGTGTTTCAGCTGTTCCTTCCCTGTTTCTCACATACACATCTACAACAGTCCATTCATCTTGTCAAGCACTGCCTCATTTGAATTTTGCCCAGAATTCTTCCCCGGTGCTGCAGCCTCTGGTTGTCTCCTGTATCAGTTATCTTCCACTGTACATGATGTGGGGGTTCCCCTATACGGTTGTAGGCATTTCCACTCACTAGTACATTTAGAGCCAGGCCCAAGCTTCTATGAGTTCTCCATGAACTTACTTCCATGGTACTTAAAGAGTAAGATGCTGAGAAGATATTTCTTACTGTCTGAGAGGTCAGTGTGGCCCCTGTCAGGGTATCACCTAGAGGCAGACAGAATTCTGTCATATCTGTGATTTCTCACAGATTCCCTCTTTAGTTAAGACACTACTGGCAGCCTCAGAACTCAGGGAAGAGCCCAGGGATGATGTTCAAGTCTCCAGAATTCAGTTTAGGAAATCCAGTAGGTCCAAGTGTGGTGAGAGCTAGCTCCTGCCACTAGAAGAATCACACAGGAGCTAAAGTAATCACTCCTGTTACAGAGCTAAAATGAAATCTTCTAAAGGGGACCCAAAGAAGGAAGAGAACGTGGGCTGGGAAGATGTGGGCAGGCTTCCTTTACATACTGTTGGAAAGTGCAGCAGATTTTAAGGCTTTAGAGCTGAGAGCACAGAAGTAAAGTGAACATTTTCAGGATGCTGTTGAGCCAGGGGCTCGGCTAAGTGCCCTGAACATTTTCCACATTCATTGTTGTCAGTCCCACAGTAGCCATTAGTTTTAGTGCCTGTGTCCAAATGAAGAAAGCATGCCTGGCTCTGAAGAGTGAGGAAGCTTTCCTGGGGAGGAATGGGAATTTCCTTCTTTGACTCTTTTAACTGGTATTGACATAGCGTGGATGGGGGAGGAGATATTCAGAAAGGCTCTGACTGAGAATCAGCTTCAAGGTGGTCCCTGAAGCCAGTGCTTGAAAGTGAGGGACACTAAAGGACCTGATACTAAAAGAGGTTGCCATAGTTGGTGGTAGCAGATTGGTGTTCCTGCTAAAAGCAAAGGAGCTGACAGACCAATATAGCTTGAGCTCCAGATGTAAATGGCCTGTTGGATGTACAGATGTAGAGGTTCCAAGTATGTGACATGACAGGAAAAAGGCTTAGGACATAATATGGAAGAGATTCTGCTGAAAGGCCACAGAAGGAGGGCAGAACCCTTGAGAATATCCAAGTACAGGTTGGCCTCTGTATAGTGATTTCTCAGCAAAATCACAGTAATAATGGGCTATTTTGGAATGGACTCTTCTGACTCAAATATGGGTAGTGACTAGAGGGACAGGGCTAAGAGAGCTTAGAAACACACCTTCATTTCTATGGTTGACATCAGTCTGCTTAAGGTCTGAGGAAGAGGAGCAAGAAGATGTGTGAAGAGAACAGACTAGGGTCCTGGAGAGGCCAGTTGGAGATGACCTAGTAAAGAGAAAAGGGGAGGTAGGAGTCAGAGCTCTAGCTTGATGCCCTCAGTCCCCAGTAAAACAGGAATTCTTTTATACTGATGTGAGGGAGATATACACAGAGCCAGAGCCTTGAGCAGAGTAAGATGTAGCATGAGTGTGATTAGAATTATCAGGGCCAACCTCAGCTCTGGGTATACTAGAGTGCCTGGGAGAACCTGGCTACCTGATTCCTGAGTCTTGGCCCAAGTATGATGGGTACAAGATGTCTGGCAAGATCTCAGAACACCTCCAACCCACCCCAGATAATCCTGAGGTGCTGTGGCCAAGGTAAAAAAGACCCTACAAAGACTCAGCTGCAGGTTATCTGTGATGCAGTCACAGAGGCATCCTTGTATTTTTCAGTACCATTTTAGTAGGAACAACAGATTTGTCATTCCCTTGCCCCTGCCAGGAACTGATTCCCTTTAAGGTGAGCACTGATCTCACACACACATTTGGAAGATTAAGACATTTAGGCCAACTTGGTGGATCTCCCCAGAAGCCACATCAAGCCTGGTACACCTCATTCTGGGTATTATAAGGGAATGTGACGGGCTGTGGACTACAGGATCTGAAAGTGAGCACAGGAGAGGGACCAGGGACACATTGAGGATGTAATGCAGGTGGGAGCAGTGAAGGATGCTTTAGGGAGTAGATGCTTTCTGTGTCCAACACTTTGGACTTGAGCAGTTTCCAGTGTTGCTGAGGTCCCAGAAGATGTAGTCTGAGGTAGTCTGAGGGTGAAGGCCAGGGAAGGGTGAGGCTTATAAGAGTTAAAGCCAGGAAGCTGCAGGGGTGACCCAGATAATCTTTATTTCTGAGAATGAATTGCTGGTCTGTGAGACTGAGAAGATGGCGCTTACTCACCTGAATACTCCCCATTTTCTCCATGTATCCTCAGGGGCAGGTTTCCAGTAAAATGAAGGCTATAGAGGTCAGATAGAGGTGACAGTTGTGGTTGCTTTCTCCTCCTGAGGGTGAATGTCCTGATCTACCTACCTTAAGCTCTCCTCCTCTGGGCTCCCATACACTGATGCACTTTACAGATAGGAGCATGAAGTATTTCGTGAAGAATCCTGTATATACCAGAGTGAATTTGTAGGCTGGAAGCTGTATGTGGTTAGATAGTCCATGTATTAGATTTAATTTGAGGCCCCAGGCACTATCTTCCTTAGCTCTGGCCTTGAGGGTCAAGTCATCTCTTATCTTTTAGTAACTCAATATGTGGTTATCCCTAGAGTGCTTGATTGATTGAATGGTTCATTGGGAATGGTTGATTCTTTTTTTCTCAATTTAGTCTCAGGTTTCAGTCTCAAGTTTCTTTTCTTTTTACCAGTCCTGGAGCTTGAACTTAGGGCCTGGGCACTGTCCTGAACTTCTTTTGCTCAAGGCTAGAACTCTACCACTTAAGCTACAGCGCCACTTCTGGCTTTTTTGTTTATGTAGTGCTGAGGAATCAAACCCAGGGCTTCATGAATGCTAAGCAAGCACTCTGCCACTAAGCTACCTTCCTAGCCCTAGTCTTAGGTTTCTTAGGTAAGGTGATCTTACAGACTTATTTCAGAGTCCAGGAAATTCTGAAATGGATGAAAGACTGCCAGAGTTGAAGAGGAAAGCTATTAGAAAGAGCAAAGAGCTCTCTCAGAGCCATTCTAAAATAAGTCCCTCCAGTTATGGCTTAAGGTTCCCCTGAAGGAGGCTGTAATTTTCAGATTTGCATTCTCCAGGTTTTCAGGTCCACTTAGTGGTCAGTACTCACTACATAAGCTATCCTGAAATCCTTGGTGGTTTTGGAGACAGATCCTCCCTCTTCCTCCCTCCCTCCCTCCTAACTGCTTCTTTTAGAAGCACAAGAAAGAAGTTCCTTAGGTGTCTGCTATCTAGCCCTTTGGGTTTGCAGAAAGATGAAGTAACTTTCCCTTTGAAGGTGTCAGTACAGGAAATGCAGGACTCACCATGCTTAGTAATCATATCCACTCCATGAATACCTGTCTGTCTCCTTGCTGTGGCATCCTTGAGTGAGCTCCCACTCCCTCTCTTCTCTTCTAGGTCTACCTCGATCTCGGAGTCAGACCTGCCTGCCTGAACTGCTGCGCTTTCTAGGCCAGAACGTCCATGCCCGAAAGAATAAGAATGTGGATATTCTGTGGCAGGCTGCTGAGGTACTTGTTACAGTGAGGGAGGGAGGTTACAGTGTGTCTGCTACCATCCATTGTAACAAAATAGGGACAGATCAAAATCTGAGCCAGGGTGGAGAGAACAAATTGCTCTCTATACCAGAACACATGAGACAGTTACTGAATATGTTGAGAGGCTCTGGAAGACATAGATATTGCCTGTGAGCTCATCCATTAAGACTGCTTGGATTCTGATAAGCTTGACACAGTCTGTCCTTGGGGCATTTCCAAGCCAGGCTGATAGTAATTGTCACCTTCTGAAGCCTATGCAGTTGATAAGTCTGGCTGCCTGCTGCAGTTTTAAATAGGTTCAAGGGAGACTATGTTAGTCTTTTATAGCTCTTTTAAACATCCTTATCCTACATTTCTGCTCTGATTATCTTTCCCAAGTACTTAACACTGCACACATTTTCTCACAACTTAAACTCATGGAATTCCAAGCTCTGAGCCTGAATGTGCAGGTATATCAACAGCAGCATATTCTGCCTGTCACTGGGACTTGAGGTTATAGGGGGCCGGCACTGACATTCCAGTTCTTAGCCTAGACCAGAGGATGGGGAAGGTAAGGCACAAGCAGGAGCTGGCCTGATTCTTTCCATCACAATGGTGAGAGACCAGCCTCAACTGCTATTCCCTGAACAACTCATCTGTATATATCATGGTCCTTCTTGTCAGTAAACTATTTTTCTGACCTAGTAACTACTGATTATAGCTGGTCTTAGTACTTGTTAGCCATTCCCAGACTGTATGCTTGTTAGACCACATGTTTGAGACCTACCCCCCTTTTTTTTCTTTTCTTTTTTTTTTTTTATACTGGGGTTGAACTCAGGGCTTCCTGTTTGCTGTGTAAATGCTCTCTCACTTGAGCTGTGGCCTCAGCTCGAGACTCTGTTGTCATAACAGCCATTTTCTTTTTTTAAACTTAATTTAATTTTATTGTAAAGATGATGTATAAAAAGGGTTACAGTTATATAAGTAAGGTAACGAGTACATTTCTTGTTGAACATTGTTATCCCATCCTTCATTTTTCTCCTAGTTTCCCTCTCCCCCTTGTGCCCCCCTCCAATTTGTAAAGTTCATTTCCAACATAGTGTCTTGTGAGTATCGCTGTTGCATTGGTTCACCCTTTGTCCTTTGTCTCATCCTTCTCTCCCCCAAATCAGATAAATATATATAAAAGACACATGGTACCAAAATAAAAAACTGACAACAGGGGATAAACCAAAGGGGGAAAAAGCAGAAAAAAAGGAAATAACTTCACACAGTACATTAAAAACAACAGCAACAAAAACAACAAAAAATGCCTCTTATTTCCATATCTTGGAGTTCATTTTGGTTAGCATCATTTTATTTTATTTTTTACTTTTTTTATTGTAAAGATACTATACAGAGGGTTACAGTTACATGAGTGAGGTAATGAGTACACTTCCTCTTGAACATTGTTAGCCCCTCCATTGTTT